GATCATTACAGTTATCACCCCCGTGATCAAAGCTAGTGAGATGAGAAGGAAGAAGTAGAATTTCTTTTCGGAGAAGTGCACCCGCATTGGGATGAAGGTGAGCAAAGGGAAACTTAGTCTCATCAAACACAACATCACGGGAAATGTATACACGGCCAGAGGAGACATCAAGGCATTTTACACCCTTGTGTTGAGCACTATACCCTAGGAAGACACACTGTTTTGATCGAAACATCAATTTGCGATTGTTGTATGGACGAAGATTGGGCCAACACGCACACCCAAAAACACGGAGAGACTTGTAGTCAGGTTTGGTGTGAAGAAGGCGTTCCATGGGAGTTTCGTTGTGTATGACACGACTAGGAAGCATATTGATAATGTGAACGGCGGTGAGAAACGCTTCATCCCAAAATTTAAGGGGCATAGAAGCACCGGCTAGGAGGGCAAGACCCATCTCAACTATGTGACGGTGCTTGCGCTCGGCAGAGCCGTTTTGTTGGTGCGCGTGAGGGCAGGAAACATGATGAGATATGCCAAGAGTTTGGAAGAAGGAATTCAACTTTTCGTATCCCCCTCCCCAATCAGATTGTACCGCAAGGATTTTGCGATCAAATTTTCGTTCGACAAGAGTTTGAAATTTTTTAAAGACTTGAAAGACTTCGGATCGTTTCTTAAGAAGATAGATCCAAGAGAATTTGCTATAGTCATCAATGAAACTAACGTAATATGTGTGTCTACCAACTGAGCTAGGGGCAGGACCCCAAACATCTGAGAAAATTAACTGAAGTGGTTGAGTAGAAACACTTGTGGAAACAGGATAAGGCAATTGATGACTTTTTGCTCTTTGGCATGAATCACAAATAGTTCCAACATGAGGCTCACCAACAAACGGGAGCTTATTTTTCCTAAGCAAGCGTTCAACTAAAGAAAATGAGGCATGTCCTAGACGATCGTGCCACCGTGTTGAAGAAAGCTTGACAACACCATAGGCTTGTTTATTATGTCTTCTGAACTCCGGAAGGAACGGGTAGAGTCCTCGAACGCATCTACCTCGATAGAGGGTTTTCCTCCTGGCCAGATCCTTGATCAAGAAGAAAAAGGGATGAAATTCAATGAAGACATGATTGTCAAGTGTAATTTTATGAACTGAAAGGAGGTTTTTGTTGGCACTAGGGACATGCAATTTTTTTTAAGATGAATCTTACGATGAGGGGTGTGTATAACAGAATGACCAATGTTGCTGATGCTCATACCTGCACCATCGGCGGTGTGAACTTGATCCTTGCCATGGTACTTCTCACGTAGGGTTACCTTCTCGAGCTCTCCAGTGAGGTGATTGGTGGCGCCGCTGTCGAGGTACCAGTTGGTGTCGACGCCGTAGGCGCAGCGATCTTGTCATCATCTTGAGCATCGTCCTCGTCTTCATCGTAGCGGTACCAGCAGTCTCTGGCGGTGTGGCCTGGTTTGCCACAGATCTGACAGTGTGGGGCGTCCGGGCGGGTTCGGCCAGCGCCGCCACCGCGGCGACCCCTGTTGCCACGAGCGCCACCACCACTGGTTCCACCATTGTTGCCGGTCTTGACGCCACCGGCCCTGCCCTTGCCGCGGCCATGGTAGCGGGAGCCGCCGCCACGACCACGGGCTGCAAGGTTGGCAGAGGACTTGAAGCCACCGCCGCCGGAGTTCTGGAAGTGCACCATGTGCTGGTCGAAGTTGCTGAGCATGGAGAAGATCTCGTCGAGGGAGGCGGGGCTGACGCGGGCGTCGAGAGCGGAGACGAGGGGCTGGTACTCCTGGTCCAGCCCATGAAGGATGTATGAAATCAGCTCGTCATCCTGGATGGGCTTACCTGCCGCCGCTAGCTCATCTGCGAGACCGCGCATGGTGGCGAAGTAGGCGGCGGCGGACTGGTTGCCCTTCTGCGTGTTGATGAGCGAGGTACGGATGTTGTTGACGCGGCTCAGTAACTGCGACGAGTACATGCCCGCCAGCGTCGTCCAGAGCGCGTGCGCCGTGGTGACCGCGGTCACCGTGACGAGCACCTCTTTGGAGAGGTTGCTCAGCAGGAAGCCAAGCACCTGCTGGTCCTCCCGGACCCAGATTGGGTGGAGAGGGTTGGGCACAAACGTGTCCTTGCCGTCCTTATCCTTGGCGGCTTGAAGCTTGGTCGGCTCCGGCGAGGTGCCATCAACGTATTGGAAGACACCGGCGCCACGAAGTTGTGGTGTGATCTGTGTGCGCCATAACACGTAATTCGTGCGGGAGAGTTTCTCAATCACCTGCCCACTGAGGTTAGGGTGAGATGCGCCGGAGGAGGAAGACATGTTTCGGGTGGTGCGACTGGAATCAGATGAAAACTAGATGGGAAGAAGAATGGCTCTGATTACCATGTGCGAGATGCGGAAACGTCTTGACCTCGGTGTGAGGGGACGTGTTGCATGTTATAGGCAGGGGCGCAAGACCCCTGATAGTGCATACAAGATGGTTGAGATATTACAGGAGACTTGGAGGACAAGAGATAAGAAGATAGAGTAGGTTACAGGAGATATTTGAACTACCTAACTTATCTATCTCTATCTCTAGGTGCGGCACAGGTATAGGTGCGGGACTCCTCCGGGTGCACAATGTAACGTGACATATAATGTGTTTAACAGGTCGTATTAGGTATCACTGAGAAGTCCAAGAGCTTATCAGCTGAATTTACCCGAACATATATTAAGAGCTTTCCTGAGCTAGGCCACTCATGACTAATCCTTCAATCTAGTTCAGAAGAGATCTCAGGCTTTGATGTACTTCATATATATTATTTCATTCAGTATTTATTTCAGAAGAGCTTTTGTGATACCAGAATTTTTATTTCAGTTTGATTCTTCTTAATATATTATTGTTCTCATTTCGTCATTAGGGACCTATTATGTTAACAGAATGAAATTATAGGTTTATATAACAAGGAGTCGTTGTAGCTTACCCAATGAAAACAGTTGATTTTGGCAGTTGCCAACTTGCCTGTTCTCTGCTCAAGCTGGTCTACAATATAAGTAGGTTGAAGTCTTAAACAAGGCTTCGAACCACTGGTTCCTTTTTTGTACAAGATCAGTCAAGATAACATATCAGTGCCTATTCCAGTTTCCACAGACCATAATTCATATACTAAGAAACTTTGCATTGCCGTTTTATTGCCATGCACCTGCCAAAGTCTCTGGATTATGTTCATCATTTAAAGATTTTCATGCCTGAAGTGTTATATGTGAGCAGGGATTGAAACTTCAATCATGTCTTCACCGTTGCAGTCTAATCAATCTGTTCATTTAATTATAGTGCTTTACAACCTTTCGACTGAGCTGCAGATCATTAGCATTAGTTTTTTGCCGCTTTTCTGTACCTTTATTTAACTTGATGCTAATGCTATTTACCCTTTCAATCAGTATTTTATTGAGAATATTTCTGTGCTAGCTTATCTCTTATGCAGTTATTTCCATAAGGTTTATCCTCTTCCTTAATGCTTGTTTTGACCCTTTTTTCCTCTTTTGTTGCAGCTTTTTGCCTTTGATACAGCTAAGAAGTTCCTAACCCCCAAATCTGGGGAAGAACAGAAGATCCCAATCCCTCCTTCACTAGTGGCAGGAGCTTTTGCTGGTGTCAGCTCAACTCTGTGTACATACCCTCTGGAACTAATTAAGACTCGATTAACCATACAGGTTAGTGTTATTACGCAAGAACTGTCTGGATGCCAGAAAAAAACTTCAGTTAAGAGTTTTATAACAACACATTTAGTGCATATGATGAATGTCATCTAATTGTGCAGAGAGGTGTGTATGATAACTTCCTCCATGCATTTGTGAAAATTGTCCGTGAAGAAGGCCCTGCTGAGCTGTATAGAGGCTTAACCCCAAGTCTAATCGGAGTGGTGCCATATGCAGCAACCAACTACTTCGCGTATGACACCCTTAAGAAGGTGTACAAGAAAATGTTCAAGACAAATGAAATCGGCAACGTTCCAACCCTGCTCATTGGGTCTGCTGCAGGAGCCATCTCAAGCACTGCCACATTTCCTCTCGAGGTTGCTCGCAAGCACATGCAAGTCGGAGCTGTTGGCGGCCGGAAGGTATACAAGAACATGCTTCACGCTCTCCTGACCATTCTCGAGGACGAAGGGGTTGGGGGCCTCTACAGAGGACTGGGGCCTAGTTGCATGAAGCTGGTGCCTGCTGCTGGGATTTCGTTTATGTGCTACGAAGCTTGCAAGAAGATACTGATTGAGGAAGAGAACGAATGAAGCGTTCTTCAACAGCGGCGTCATAAAGGGGTAGTGGCTTAAATTTTGTTTGCTGATCCTATGATGGATCTGAATCTGATCCTGGGGCCTTCCTCCCAAGATACCAGAGCTCGGTTTCGCGACGGACAGCGGGGAAACTTTTGGCCTCCTTTGAATGAAGTTACCTGACTAAGCTCAATAACTGTTGCTACAAGATTTCAAACTCTTTCTTTAGTCTCAGCTTGCCCTGACAAAAAGTTACATATGTTTCCAGTTTGCTTTGGGATACTATATGCATGAATGAAGCGTGTGTTTTTTAGGAAGTCTTTGTTAGGGGGTATATGAAACCAGTGAAATTAACTCTGGAGACATCAAATTTTACATGATTGACATCAAGATTTATCTTTTTCAGTTCATGGTGTTATAGACTTTTGATTTTGGTGCCAACTCATGGCAAGTCTGGTATGGACTTTTGATTTGATGCCAACTCGTAGCAAGTCTTCCAGAGGGACACTTAAATTCTCAGCTCTTGCCACAATTGCATTGCAAAATTAACATTACCAACAGCTGCAGCATGCATTTTTTAATCAAAATATCAAATATGTATATGTTTAATAAATTCTAGAGGTTCACATTGATCAAGAACTGAAGGCATCTTCATCCTCTCTCTCACCCCGCTCCCGCTGTAACCAAAAGTAATAACAAAAGAAAACAAAACCCATCCTGTCTACATGACTAGCAATTTCTAGGTCTGCTCCTCCTCGTCTTCTGCTGCCTCCTCCGCAGCTGTGGCCATCAACTCATCAAACTTATCGCTCTTCCGCAGCACTATCTCAATCTGCGCAAAACATTCAACGTAAATATTCCCCGGGGAAGAATGTTGGGGTAAAAAGAACAATATCTGAATGATATCCTGCTAAAAACAACATTCTGATGATATGACAGTATGAATTATTCTGACCTTGGCCTTTTGGATTGGCCGCCCTCTCATCTCATCCTTGATTTCCACAGTAGATGTCCTAATCCCTGCACATATTGTTCTTGGTTAGAGAAAGTTTGTAAAGTGATCTAAACGCCCTTATATTTCTTTACGGAGGGAGTACCATATAAGTGTATAATGTTGGGCGAGGGGAAAAAGTTCTTACTTGTCTCGAATGCGAAACCATTGTTCTTCAGAATCTCTGCCACTGTCACGACCGTTGCTATGGCTGCAAGCATATTGGGCAGACATGTTAATGAGCCCTGATCGATTGTGGTGTTCATGGTTTAAATTGTCTCATGCAAATACTATGGCAGTACTCTTTATCCAACACTATATATATCGTAATGTGAAGCCGCAGTTGCTTCTTATTCCCTAGTCAATCCTTAAAGTAGTGGCTTACTAGAAATTTAAAAAGGTCGATCAGAATCATGCGGCCTATTCAATCCTCAAAGTAGTGGTTTAGAAATTTAAAAAGGTCAATCGGAATCATGCGGCAATCGCAGACATATTTGTCAGGATGCAAGGAGGAATAGGCGACGTACCCATGCCGAGCGCGGAGAGCTCGACCTCGCCGTGCTGCTGCATGTACCTCTGCACGCGACGCAAGGGAAAGAGTCAGCACCCACCAGGCCATGGCGTAACAACGAGACCCGCAGCCGATCGATCGATCGGTCGACGCGTGAACAGATATATTGAATACCTTGGCGAGGTTGACGTAGAAGAAGAGGGGTTTCTTGGTGTTGGACACCTGAATCCGGTTGCTGCTCCCGCCGCCGCCGCCGCCGCTGCCGTTGGCGGCCCTCGCTCTCTGCGCCTCCGCCGCGTCGCCCGACATTGCTGACGCCGCTGCTAATAGCAAGATCGAACGGTCCGCCGGCGGTGATTCGCTGTTCGTCTCGATCGTGCGCGGGAAGGGTTCGTGGCTCGTGGCTTCAGGTTGGAGGGAGGAAGAGGGGGCGTGGTGATATTAATGGCTGTCTGGGACGATCGGATGAGAAGACGAGTCGGATCGGGAGCGGGTCGTGCGAGGAGTCGGGTACCGAGTCCGTGCCCAGCTCCAACTCAAATAGTTTACGAGTGTTTCTCTCAAAACAAAAGTATATCGTTCTAATTTCCTAATTTTATCGGATGTCCGGACCTCTAAAAAAAGAGAAATATACCACCTCTGTACCAAAATACGGGAGAACTACTAACGAGCGAGTACTCCTCCGAAAGCCCCCGCAAGCGTCATTTGGCGCGCTCTCAGCCATCACATGTTGCGCATTATACGTTTTCTTCGGATTTGTTTCTATTTTTATTTCTCTATATGCATTTTTGGCTTTTAGATGACTTTTTTCAGGGTTTCTTTTCAGCTTTTTGGTTTTCCTCTGGTCTTTTTTAGTTTTTTGACAAAGAAAATTTTGCGTGAAAAAATACGTTTTTTTTTCTTTTTGCGAGAGCCATTGATTTATTTTTCATGAAGGCACGGATTTGCTTCTGCTAGAGGCACAACCGTACTGTTCGCAAAAGAAAAAACAATCGTGTTTTTTTCCTTTCACAAGAGGCACGAAATAACTTCGGGTGGAGGTATGAATTTGCTTCTGCGAGATGCACAGCCGTGCCTCTCGAAAAGGAAAAACACGCGTTATTTTTCTTTCCGCGAGAGGTACAGATTTACTTCTCGTAGAGGCACGGATTTACTTTTGCAAAAGGCACAGTAATGCCTCTTTGAAAAAATAACATGTTTTTTTCCTTCCGAGAGAGGCATTATTTAGTTCTTGTGGACGCACAGATTTGCTTCCTCGAGAAACATAGTTGTGCCTCTCGTAAAAGAAAAAATACACATTTTTTCCTTCCACAAGAGGCACGAATTTACTTCTCGTGGTTCCTTTTGCTTCCACGAGAGGCACAATCATGCCTCTCGGAAAAGAAAAAAAAAGTTTCGCGAGAGCACAGATTTATTTTTTGTGGAGGCACAAATTTGCTTTGCGAGAGGCACAACCATGCCTCTCAGAAAAGGAAAAAAATGTGTTTCTTTCTTCTTCCGTAAGAGGCATGAATTTACTTCTCATGGAGGCATGGATTTGCTTCTACTATTTGGAAAGGCAAAAAAATGTGCTCCCAGTTTGATTTTCTCGTCTGATTTTTTCATCAAAAAGTTCATCGAAACCTATTAATATGGGATCTAGTTTTGAAGATCTCAACGCGAGGAATCCAACAATAAAAACGGTTCGAGATTGAACGCACAGTTTAAATGATAATTTTTTTAAATAAACTAATGTACGAATAAAGAGAAAACTCCCAGGCTATGATAAATGGCGCACTGCATGCACGCCAATGCGCCATTTTATCGCAATCTGAGAAGGTGGGTGTGATTTTTGCAAAAGAAAAAAAACTCCTTAATTAGTGACTTCATTGATACGGAGAGGGTAATTCACAAGTGTTGGAATGTTGGCACGTGTGGTTCTTGCCACAATGGGTTTTTGACTAATGAGTTTAGTGAGAGCTCCTAAATGGCGCGAAGGCTATATCTTGTTTATAGCAATTATAGGTCTTGAGTCGCTTAAGTTTTTTCCTTCCCCTATTTTTTTTAACACTCCTTCCCCTATCTTAAACTAGGCGGGTTTGTTTTGATTTTTTTTTCAATCGCTAGCTAGGTGGACCGTTCACTGTAGCTTCTTTGGTTTGTTTGGTTTCTTTTATCGCTAACTAGCAAAAAAGCCCGTGCGTTGCAATGGATAAAAAAATAAAAAAATGCGAGCACCTTTGCCTGCTAAAACCACTATAGCACCGCTATAGATGATTAATTTTCCACTGTATAAATGGAGTGGAACAAAAGTTGTTGAAGAATTAATCTAGAAGGTATATCAGCTTATTCACTGTTCGGGAAATATGATGCAACAAAAGCTAAGAATTATGTGGCTGATAAATCACATCTTATAGAATATACATGACCATTGATGTAGATATAAACATTAAGGGGCAGTAGAACTACTTGGCTTTTTTCACAGGTTTAATAGGATTTTTATTCCATGGTTACACAGTTATAATTCAGAGGTAAGATTTTCTCTATACATGAAGGTCCTAGATCCAACCACATAGTCGTGCTATGATATGACTATATCCTGCTAGGCAATCTACAACCGCTGTTCTGATCTCTATGAATTTTTTGAGGAATAAACTCCATAAGCGGAACGATCCAAGCTATTAACAGAAAAAATGGACAACGTCATTGTTGAATCCCACTGCACGATGATAGGCATGTCAAAATATTGTATAGCTATCCACCTGCCAATTATTATCGCATGCATCTCTGCTTCGAGTGCTTCGTTGCAATGGAATAAGTATCGATATGCAGCGAATATCACTGAGTCATCCTGTTCTGAAGCACCATTCCGGCCGTTGCCAGCTTCCACGAAAACACCATCGACTGAGAGAACGACCATGTTTGCCGGCAGTGTTGCAGCAGAACTATTATTTTGTGGAATAATGCACTACTGTACTCCTAATTTGTAGAACAATAGCAAAGAACCCGTTTAAATTTATGTATGTATGTTGATTGAATCCTAATGACATGGAGCCCATAGCTGACATGTCTTTCCTACTGTCTAACAGTGAAAATCCTAGGCATCAATTTTGAAGTAATGAGATTTTAATCAAAATCAAACTATTAACACTCAGCATGACACAATAAGGTTTGTGTTGTAAAAAAGATCTTTGTTGCATATATAATATTATGTGCTTAGATACATCTATATAGACAAAGTAAGACAACTAATTTGAGACGGGGGAATAGTATATAAGAATGGAAAACTGAGGCTAACACTTGACGTGTCTATACCGATACCAAGAAAAGCAGAATAAGCAGTACAGACAGGCCATGTACTCCACCCCTTTGGCATTCGTTCACGGATGAAGTTTAATTAGGGGAGCCCCCCACTCGTTCCATCATGCCTCACCAATTCTCAGTCTCTCCCATATCTCATGAATCCCATATTATTAAGCCAACATATAATCTGATGGTCTCTCCCTTTTCTTCCTTTAATTCCATCACAAACGCCTCACAAATTCTGTTTAATTTAGCCAACATATAATCTGGGACGCCGATAACTGCCACACGTGTGGGTGTTAAGAAATCTGCCCACATGTTCTGTGTGGTGCCTAAGAGGACCAGCCCACACGTCTGTGTGTGGGCAAAACAACTAGCGCCCATACGCCTCTTTTTTCTCTCCCGGTCCCTCTTACACGCGTGCGTGTGGGCGAAATAGATAACGCCCACACGGCCGGTACGTCAGGCCTCGTATCTCGTGGTTCCGCACGCCCCACGTGACACTTTACCGCGCGCCCCGCAGTTGCCATGGGCCGGACCCTCGTCCATGTTCGTTTAAGTGCAGTTGCCATGTCGCTGAACTACGGTTGCCATGTCGGACAATTGCAATTGCCATGTTTGCTCAACTGCAGTTGCCATCTCAGGTCAAAGTTCCAGATTGCCATTTTTTGGACAACTACAGCTGTTGTCATGTGTGGTCTGGTCTACTGCAGTTGCCATGATTTCAAAACTTTAGGAGTTGCCACCTACTAACACCAGACAGTTGCCATGTAGCGCTACAAAAAAAGGCATGGCAAAAAACATGATCGGGTAAAAGAGAGAGTTGCCATGTGCTCACAAGCACGCTAGGACAGTTGCCATTTAAAAAGAAAGAGTTGCCATCTGCTTACGTGCACGCTAGGGCAGTTTGCCATGTACCATGCCAAACATATGGCAACTGACATGTTCGGGTAAAAAAAAAGAGTTGCCATCTGCCCTTGTGCGTGACTGAAGCCCACACACTGGCCCCTCCATGTGGTAAAACGGATGTGTGGGCGACCTCTCTCACACACCACACACACGAATTGTCCTACGTGGCATACAAAATCAACTATTTCGTGCAGAAATTACTGAACGGTGATGGAGGCGTGTTGTGTGGGTGAGTTGGCTAAGGCCCATATATGTGGGCGTTAACATTTCCGATAATTTGATAGTTTATCTCCCTTTGTCTCATTAAAGCCAACATGCATGTCTCATGGATCTTGGGTCTTAGCTCACGCCAGACAGCGCACTAAAAATGTATATAAATTGATGTGAATAAGTTTAAGGAAGCAATGTGGGACTAATCATAGTTGATTGCTGCAGCTTAGACTGGACGGGAAGTTATAAGCTCAATCCTTAGCGAAGTATTATTTTCCGGCGCCTCTTTTTTGTGACTTCCAGCAGAGCCCATTCTTGTTATTGATGGCCCAATAGAGAAGACCTAGCAACATAGGCCCAGCTTAGAAATAATCGTAGGTTGTAAGAAGTACTCCCTCCGTTCCAAAATTCTCGTCTTAGGTTTGTCTAGATATGGATGTATCTAACACTAAAACTTAACTAGATACATCCGTATTTAGACAAATTTAAGACAAGAATTTTGGGACGGAGGGAATATCTAGAAAGAAACGAACCTGAAAATATAGGGGCTTTTAAAGTTGAATTAGGATTCTTATTATATGACCGTAAAAAAAGATTCTTTTTATATGGCTACGTGTGCATTCAATTGGCCCACAACCTCCACGTCTGGATGTATTCTACACATAGGTAATAACTAGCAAAAGAGCCCGTGCGTTGCAACGGGAGAAACAAATTTCACCCCTTGCGCCCGATCCATGTTACCACTTCTCTTCTTTGTCACCATTGTTGATGATAGTCACATTGTCCACTACACGATCGACATTCCACATAAGCGTGGAAATAATAAAGAATTGCATGGCCTAGATGCAGAAGTTGGCGAACGATCGCGTTTGAGATCTCAACCACATCTACATAATTTTATTCTCGCT